TTAAAAGATACAAGACAATTCTGAATACCGAAAAGTAAATACATGAAACTGATTCACATTTTATTGAAATTACAGTGGTACTTAAAGTACTTTTTTTTCTTGATTTATTGTACGCAAATTCATTGATTAAATCATTAAAATCAAGATTTCTCAGCAGTTCGCTTTCTGTATAGCTATAATAATGCCAAATGACGGTAGTACGTCTAATATCAATCATTGTGGATCGATATTTATTTTCTATTATTGAAGTTAACAATTTTAAGCTTATAAGGGGTCCCCTTAGCCCCCCCCCCTCCTTAAACCGGTACTGAGTTATGAATCATAACTGAAAATTCAATTACATCGATAGATTTACCGAGGTGTGCCTGCGGACGTCTCAACTGGTGGCAGCTCTCCGCGACTTTTTACCTCAGACGGCGTTGAAGGAATGCGAAACGAGATGGGGTGGAGTGGCGGACCCCAGGTTCCTCGTGGAGGGCGCCGCCGGGGACTTGGTTTCCGCCGCCGAGCAATGCCTGGTCGATCCACTGTGGAAGGTCTCGGTCAGCATGAATTTGCGCTGCGCCGGCAATTCGCGTCTGACCGACGCCGAACACCGGCTGAAGATCGTGTTCCATCACCGCCAGCTGGACGACACCGATCTGGGTAGGAGGGTGAGGCGGGAGCTGAAGAATCAATCGCCGTATTTCGACCAGCCGCTCTACGTCGCCGCGGTGGAGGAGGAAAAGGAGCCGGGGGTGTATGTGACCTCGGTGAAGGCTAGAGATCCCGAGAACGGCGCCGTACGGTATTCCATGAGTTCGCTGATCGACGCGAGGTCGCAGGCGTTATTGGCTCTCGACCCGGCAACCGGAAGAGTAACTACTCGCTCCAGATTGGACAGGGAGAACGTCGACGTACACTATTTTCGGGTGCGTATTTCGAGTTCCAGAAGTAAAAGAAAGAAAAATTGAGTAAAATATTCGCACCAACCTTGCCCTAATAATAGAAACAAATTTAATAAGATTACAGGATTGGATAGTAACTAATTAAAAAGTTAAAAACGTTTAACTTTACTTAGTTAATTTTAAACGAGTTAACTTAAACTATAGTTATTTTTAAACATATATAAACTTTAGCTTATTAATTTTTTTTCTAAGTTAAAAATTTATCTATTTAAAAGCAAAAACATTTTCACGTAAAGACAATTTTTCGTTGTTATTTCATATAAACTAAATTTTCAAATAAAATATTAAATTTATTTGATCATTTATATCGTAATTGTTTTTCATGTAAAGTAATCTCATTTTTAAAAATTACGATATTCTAATTTAATACACAAATGATGTTTTTTGAAATTAACTTAAGTCATTAACTTTAACTTAATTTAGTTTAAAAAATATATAATATATAGTTTAAAAAATATATTAACAACCCAACCCTGAATAAGAAACATTATTCAAGAGATTTTTTCTTCACGAAAAAAATTGCTGTGGATGTTACAACAATATTCTCTATGTTTGGAAAAGAAATGCATGTGAATTTAAGTTATATTGATGTTACATGGCATTCATCTGTTAAAGTATGCTCATCAGTACGGTTGTCACAACCGTAGTGCTTAGGATAAATAATATTCGGTTAGAATATCTTCATATATGTGATTGCCTCAACCGAGCATTATTGCTATCTCTCTAGTATGGTCTGTACAACAATGTATGATTGAGAGATATATATGATATAGTTGCACGTTACAACATTGAGGCTGAGAGTTCAGTTAACTATATAAATCACTTCCAAAGTATTTTAGTTCCTATAACTCGTTCTAAATTGATGGGCGAAAATTATTACAATTATTAGGTTGTGGTAATAGCAATTTTGTTCCGTGAAGGTAAAGGAGATCAACTATAACGATAATCGGCTGAGAAATGTACTTTCCTAAATTGAATTTTATCAGTTATCTAACACTTTCAAATTCTTATACAAATGTTTTATCAAGAAGCTAATTCTACCGTAATATACGGGTTTCATACAGATAACGATTGTAAGTATTATAGCTTAAGATAAAATACATAAAGTATAACATGTATATCTACAGGTTACAGGAACAATTCCTAGAGATAATTATTAAGGTTGTACATACATCCATATACAGCAGCAAAGTAACTTCCAGAATACTATGATTCCTGTAACCATTTTGTACAGATGGGCAAAAATAATTATTATTCTGTTGTATCATAACCGTAACTTTTTCTCCGTAGCAGTTTTATAGCTTCTTTCCTTTCTATTTTTTGGAAAATAATATTTATTTTTGTAATAATTTTAATATCTTGTTGTTTCTTCTTTGGTCTTTATTAACACCATCTCCAACAAAAATGCGATAAACTGAGAGTGCTTTATACTCGCATAGCCAAGGCTGTATCTGAAAATTCTACCTACATTCTGTGCGGAATGCCAGTGCGGTCATCAACGAGCTTTTTCCAGCACCACTACGAGAAAACGGTATTACATGGAGAAGAAATTGTTTCGATTACGAAACGATACGCCAGTTGATCTACATAATGTACAATTGATCGCGGATAAATTTACCTGCCGCCCAAGATCGCGGTGAGTTCGCCAGGCCGCACCACACCTCGGACTGGAAAAAGGAGAAATATCATCGTATCCGCATCGTATATTTTATTTTAAACGAGACTAGATTGCAATAGATTGAAAAAAATTCATTTCAACATTCGCGAATGCGTACTTCTGAAAATCTGAATCCATTCCAATGCCCAATGCCTCTGTATTCATTTATAGGAATTGCATGAAGCACATTTTCTACGCCATTCAATCTAAAAAAAGTTCAGCTTTAAAAAGTAAATCGTAAATACTGGTTAATTCAAAATTCTAGATAAGAAATACAATTTCTTCAATCTAATTAAATTTTTAAAAAATATGGTTTATAATGTAAAATACAGTTTTTTGTGAAAATGAACATTGTTCAAAATTGTGACTAGGAAATGCATTATTTCAATCCACCTAATCCAAAAAATATTATATTAATATTATATTAAAAATATTATATTATATTTGTATTATGAAATAGACATGTATTCATTTCCACGGTGGCAAATCCATTTCAATTCATGAATTTAAAAATTTAATCCATTGTAATCCTTTCCCGTTTACTGGGGCGTTTACGTGCGACGTTTAATATGTTTTAAATATACCGCTGTTGATGAGCTGCTTGCTTATGGTACGTCGATTCTGATCCACCGCGTATACGGATAAGTTTTGCCAGGAGAGCATCGTACCTTCCTGGGGCATTCTACGTTGTGGTGCATTAAACTTAACATCCATGACGTTCCAGACCTTGATAAGAGAACGCAAAATGAATGTATAAGTATCTTTCTCAATTTTCTTGCTTGAAGAGAAGCAGTTTTCGAAGCGTAATTATCTCGCGGTAATTGCGATCTTCAAACACGATAACATATCAAGCATCCGACAATTAAATGTCAAATATGGCAGTATTAAAATCGTGACAAGGTACATAGATAATTTCTTATCTCTTCACTATAGTCTATAAATATTTCACTCCGTTTTATTATTGTATATTACTCAGAGTTGGGAAGTAACGCGTCACTTGTAACGTCGTTACCATTTTTGTTACTTTCTTTCAATAACGATTATTATTACTTTTTTCGATCTGTAACGGTTACATTTTTACAATAACGGTAATGAATTTGCCGTTATTTTTATCGCTACTTTTTTGTACTTTTATTTTCTCATTTTATAATACATTTTTAATTTACTTTTTAAACAATATTTTGTATTTTATATCTCTTAGGCTACATTCCTATAATCACTACCAATATTGAAATTCTACGGACATCTTTCACATTGCATATACTATTATAGATTTTCAGTGAATATTAAAATGCACTCTTAATAATTACATTAATATTTACAAACAATAAATTTAATTTATAACTTTCTATAAAAATAAATAATATAAAGAAAAACTTATTCTGTATGTACAGACTAGTTTAGAAAGTTTTAAGTTTTAATATTTATTATTACATTTAATAATAATTATCAAATAATATAAATTTAAAATCTGATTAGACTTATTCTAATATTACAAAAAAACGAAAAAGTAACGATAACGGTAACGCGTTACTTTTCTAAGGTAACGTTTTCAATCCTGTATATTACTATTGTGTCTCTCTTTTTACACACACATACATTCTCCAACAGAAGCTCCTCATTTTCTAGGCTTTTTATTCTTTTTTAATTTAATTATACTGCTTATTTAATAAATCTATGTCTCTTGTGTCGAAAATGTAAACGACATTGTAATTATACAAAAAAATTTTAAATACAAAGACATAAAAAATGATATTTGTTTATTGACTAGAGAAGTATTGAGTTTTTAATTTAATCAATATTTTCGCTGATATCTCTTTGGAAAATTCGGAATTCTAATAAAGAATTAGAAAAAAAAATGCAGACTTTTGACAAATATTCCAATTTGTATAAAAAGATCTGAGAAATTTTCTAAAAAGTAAAATTATACAGAAATTCTTAAAAATTCAGAAATTTGTTAAAAATCTGGAAAATCATATTATTAAAAATTTTAAGAAAATTTTTCGCCAAGGTTATTACATAGAAATGTAAAAAATTCTTATAGAAATTTAAAAAAATTATATACAAAAAATGCTAAAAAAGATTCTAATAAAAATTTTATCAAAAGATGTCTATATGATTCTAACTTTTCTAGATTACGCAATTCTTTTCTCGAGATACGATGTATGTATATATGATACGACATAAATACATACCGTCGTTATTCTGATAACAACAAGGATGAAATGGCCAGTTCGTAATGCACACAACGATCCGTGCTTTGGAAACTACGCGGTCACGTGTCTGCACGAGAACGAAAAACCGTCGAGACGTGTCATGAAATGAAGATTGACACTAAAAGCACACAAGTCTCGCAGGCGTCGCGTTTGCTTCTCGTCAGCGCGCGTAACTCTACCACCACTCGATACACCTGATGCACTTCACCCGTGCTCGCTTCCCTTCTTCGCCTTTCTTTGCAACCGAATATCACGCACGCACTCACGCACGCAGTGCGAGCACCAATATTGGAAAGACTCGACTTTTCTATCGATCGCGAGAAGCTGCTCGCGTAGAGATACGACTGCACACATTTTACCTCTTTTCCAACATAAAATATTGAATATGAACAATACCAAATAATACCAAATATGAACAATTAAATATCAACACTTTGAAGTTAACATTTAAAATGCAAAATTGTCGCAGAGACGGCAGTTAAAGTTTCTTCAACGATATCGCGAGATTGAGAAGACATGAACAGTCGCCGCGCGTATACGCGCGTGCAATGCTCGAGCAGCGCGGTAATTCGACGCTTGCGAATCGATAGCTCATTCGCGGATGCGTAAGTAAGCGCGAGGGTATGCCAACTCGGCGAGGCTTTCTCCCGCCTCCGAAAAATATCCTCCTTGTCGCGGTAAACGTTCGTGACTCGGGGAGACCCGCGGTAATCGAAAACCGAAACCCTACACATACGTCGAGCGAGACGGATGAACGGCCTGCAGTTCGAGCCGATCTCAATTTTATTTCCCCAGTCTGCATTTGAATTATTGCACGTATGTTTTTTCACTAAAGAAAAAATATTCTGTCCTTCAGTGGTACTCTTGATTTCTAGAGGACTTTCCTCTGAAATCCGGCCTCAAGAAGATACTCTAAAATATATATAGAGGAATATCGTATAATTCTTAATCATAGTCTTGATCATAATACATGCGCCCACTTTTTTATAAATGAATATGTGTTTATAGAGAAATATGCTTTGTGTAAGATTTTTTGTAAGCAATATATATCTATATGACCGTATAAGTATTTCACACGTAACGAATAAGAAAGGCCAATGCACGGTCATAGCAAGATCTTGGTGCTTCTATTTTCTTATGTGATTTTATACATATGTATCCTAGCTTCGACGAGAAACTGCGTGCCATTACTTCCGGATTCAACGCAACCCCTGATTGAAACAGGACCGTATTATCACGTATTAAATTGCTAATCAATTTAATAAGTACTTGATGCTCACTTGCATTTAATAAATCCCCCCCCACCCTCACGACGTCAAGTCAGTTAGATGCAAGTTAGCATTTATTTGACGTCGCGGGGGAGAGAGGATTTATTAGATGCAAGTGAGCATCAAGTAGTTATTGAATTGATTAACAATTTAATACGTGACAATACGGTCCTGTTTCAATCAGGGGTTGCGTTAAATCCGGAAGTAGTGGCACGCAGTTTCATCGAAGCTAGAATACGTATGTAAAATCACATAAGATGATAATAATAAAAGCACCAAGATCCTGCTATGACCGTGCATTATTGGCCTTCCTTATTCGTTATTTTTTGTAAGATTTTTCATAGAGGAAATGTTAAGAATTCTTAACTTAGTATAGAATATTTTTTTTGGAGTATTAAACATTGCAGTAGCGGCGATATAACGGCACCATTTTCTCGCCCCCCTGATGTATTCCATATCGCATTGCCAGCTTCCAGCCGAATGCCGATAATAATTCCGACTCGCAGGCCGACAGCAATATCGCGAGATCAAGCGAGTAGTATATATCATCTAGATCTCGGCGTCCTATTTTTTATTTTTATTTTTATTTTCTCATGATACACTCGAAGATCTCCCGAGATTGTTTCTCATATCTCTGTACACCGTACGTGCGGTCGCACGGTATATATGGCAACCGGTTTGTAATAATATCTAGATGCGAACGAAAGAGTGAATGGTCAACCCCCGATACAGGAAACACGCCCGGCACGTAGGCGGTAGCTGTACCCGCGTTGTTTCGAGACACATTTTTTTCCAAGTTCCTATTACGTGGCCTTTTTGTGGTCATCGTGCGTCAACATCGATACGATAACGGCATTCATGGTGTTATATTTAATATGATTGTCACATTTGTAAATATCTAAATTTTTGCAATCCTCCCAGATATAAACTGCCAAAATTTTGACATCACATATAAATTTAAGATTTAAGATCATATTAAAATTTACGAATATTTCGTTGGAAAACTATTTAAACAGTTTGATTTATGCTGAATGCTTTTTCTTAATTTGAAAGTAAATAGACATTATATTTAGCGTAATTATATGATCAACATTGTTTAATTTTAAAAAATAGACTAAGCCATTAAGCCTTTTCTCAAAACTGAGCTATGAACTGTTTTAGATGATGGGTGGAAAAGTCTTTGTCAGAAAAAATAAATACATAAATTTGTAATTACAATATCTAAATTAATAAAAAAAAAGTGATTAAATATAAGAATGGCTACTTAAAAAAAAGTATCTAATCTTTAGTTTCCTTATAAAAGAATTTTGTAAAAAATGTTTTCTGTAAAACTTTCAAATACTTTATATTATTTTTTATTTTGTTATAAAGCAATGAGTAAAAATGATAAAAATGTTTAAGTTAAATTATAGTGCATATAAGTTTTATTTTATTTTATTTTTGATTAATTGTCTCAAAGTGGCCGACAGTTTAAATATATATATATATATTATATAATTATAATATTTGCTTATTGAATATCTTGACGGAGACACTGAATTATAAACGCAAGTAATTTTATTAAAATCGTAATTTTATTAAAAGTTTACACAGCTTTAGAGCAAACCATTGCTTTTTACAGACTTCTTTGTTGTCTGACGATGCAGGCTAAAGACGACGATGAAGCTACTTTGAACGATAAGTTTTTGACAGTAGTGCAAGAAATGCTAGGAAGCGAAATGCGACAATAAGCGCGAACAAGCAAAGGAAGTCCAGCCAGAAGTCCTCCTCTTTGAAATTGAAGGTTTGGAGAATCGTGCGCCCCGATTTTGGACACGTCACGTTGCTCCTGGTGCAAGCTATGGAATCGACATCTGACCACTGATTGATCAAAAGTGCCTCGTTGCCGTAACGAAACCAAGATAGGTACGAGAACCACACAAAATAGGACGGTATGGACCTGTTCACACGAAAAGTCAGGTGTTTCGATCAGCATTTCAGGTCGTCCGAGACGATTTGAGATATACTCACGCTGTATTTAGGAAAAAGCCGCCAAAGAGCAAGAACGGTATTATAATTGGAGGACCGACGGAGAGCGCCACAGATACTCCGTTGCTGATACAAGATATCAAATAGCCTGCGAGAGAAATAAAATTTTAAGTAATTATTTTTTTAAAAAAAGATGCAAATGTTTCCTTAAGGGGGTTTTCACCTTTGCCGACCGTAAAATTAGCCCTTGATTCATGAATTTTTTTTAAGGAAATCTATTATGTACAGTAAAACGCGGGTTTTGGCATAAACTTATATTTTTCGAACAGCAAAAAAATATTTTTTATTTATATAAAAATGTATTTTAATGCCTCCAAGTGACGTTGAATGTGGTATGTTTTTCGAACTGACGGAAGTAATTACGAAAAAAAAAACGAATTAGTTATCGACTTGATTCTTTTTTCCTCTTGATACTTTGACGCATGGCGTGAACTAAAATCATAATTTTACAACAAACATTCAATTTGTTATTAATAAAAATTTTTAGGGTAAAAAAATTCTTTTTTCAAATGCTACCATTTTTACAAATTACAAGCGCAATTGACATCATTTTAGTTCATGACATGCGTTAAAGTATTAGGATCAAGAGAAAAAAAGAATCAAGTCGATATCTTAATTCGTTTTATCGTAATTACTTCCGTCAGCTCGAAAAACATGCCACATTCAATCGCCATTTGGAGGAATTAAAATACATTTTTATATAAATAAAAAATATTTTTTGCTGTTTAAATAATATATAATATAAGTTTATGCAAAAACCCACGTTTTACTGTATATAATAAATTTCCTTAAAAAAATTCATGAAACAAGTGCTAATTTTACGGCCGGCAAAGGTGAAGTATCCCCCTTAAGTTCTCGATTACCGAATGAAGTCGATACGTTGGCCACGAGGGCTACTACAGCGGCAGCGACGAAGAAGTGCTTTACGTCTGGATAGAGGCCGATCATGGGATAAACGATGGCGGTGAAGATCAGCGGTATCGCTAAGAATATCGGCGCTTCCGCCAGCGTCTTGCAGATGAAGTAGACGTCGGTGCGGTACATGCCGTTTTTGTGCTCGCGAAGAAATATCGGCAACTCAGCGCAGAAAACCTGTGCCCAGCACATGTATGTTTTATGTCTACCATGCAATGTAGATTAACTTTCATGTCAGTTTAACTTACTTTTCATCATTTTCTCAATTTTAATAGAATATAGTAAATTTTGATAGTAATTCTACTAATTGTAAGAATTAAAAAAGGATAAAAATTAAATTAAATCGAGATTAAAGTAAATCTATATTAATAAAAATTTAAATTGGTATAGAATATTAATTTTATCGTCCTCTCACGTAGATTCTGATCATTGCTGAAATTGGAATTACAAATACGATTTTTTAAGACTTAAAGTCTCACATTAATGACTGCGAAGACATTCTGGAAAGTCATATTGGTAAGGAAGATAAACAGAGCGCCGTTGATGTTCATCACGCCGTCCTGATCTACTCGCTGACCGAAGTAAATGACGCCGATCAACAGCGAGACCATCTGCAGCAGAAAATTCAAATTCATTCTTTCGTAACTATTATCTCTCTCTGTTATATTTGCAATTGTCAATGACGCGATTATTCGCGAGCATAGAAGGACATAGAGAATTAAAATATTAATTATTTTTATAAACTGAAGATGTATTTATATGTAAATTTACATAGAATTAATATTATTAGGCACCAAGATCCAGTTTTAACCATATAGTGGCACTATTCTACTTATTTGTGTTACAAGTTATTTTATTAATTAAATAGTTTTTACAGGGTTATATGGTAACGTGCAGCTCTGTGTAGTTTTTTTAATCTTCCTTTTCATTTTGCAAATAGATTAATATGGGAGAAAAACGTACGATAGTCTGTAGAAAGCGGACTTTAATGAGGATCGGTTCCTTGATCACCGACAGCCAGGATCGCCATAGAACCGCGCGGAATTGTTCGCACCAGCTCGCCTTGTAAACTCGGCCGGAATTCTTGGAGTGCTCGAACCGTTTGAGAGTGTCCTCGAATTCGCCGTGTACAATCTCGGCCTGCAGGGCGATGTTCGCGCCGTATTCGCTTCTCCGGAAGGTGTCGCACGTCGTTTCGATTGCGTGCCTGCAAGTCAGCTCGCGCCCCGGCACCACGGCCAACGCTTGCACGAAGAAGTCGGCAGGGTTGTAATTGCTGGGACAGGTGGCACCGAGGCTGCGACAAAACGCCGATTTAAATCGGCCGAGAGATGCATTTTTTGACACTGAACTTACGTTTTGAAGAAGGCACAAGCTTGCGCGGCTGTACCCATAAAGGCGACTCTCCCCTCAGCCATCAGCAGAATCTTGTCGAACAGAGCGAACAGCTCCGAGGAGGGCTGATGTAAAGTGACGACGATTGTTTTACCACGTGCTGTTGAATTTCGTTTATTCATTTATTAATCCTTTAAATGCTGCCATGCACTGATTGCAGAGCTTTGCTGGTAGGCAGGTATAAGGAAGTTTCATCGGCTCAAACTCACCCGCCAGTGCTTTCAGAATGGAAACGACCTGATGAGCCATGAAGGAATCCAAGCCCGACGTCGGCTCGTCGCAGAACATCAGCGGAGGATCGGTCAGTACCTCGGAGGCGAAGGACAGCCTCTTCATCTCGCCTCCCGAGAGGCCCTTCACCCTGCCGGGTATCCCGATCACGGTGTTTCGACATTTCGAAAGGGCGAGCTACTTTCGAAAGAGACGTCATTGAATACATAATCAATTTCCGAAAGCTGAAATTGCAGTTGAAAGACAAAAGATTCGATATTCCTAAAATTGAAACCGCTAAGACGGCTTCATTAACTCCGGTTAATTAAAGACGATTATAAAAAAAGAAATACGCGGAGAAAAAAGTTCCATATATAATTATATATAATTATATGCAAAATATGTCCATATATGTTTCTTTCATTTGTAAAATTATTTTTTAATACAAAATTGATAATAATAAGAAACATAAAAAATAATTAAAAGAATAATTGTTACATTGTTTTTTTTTTACAAAAAATACAAGTTTGAAGAAATAAAAAAAATTGTTCATATATAATCATATATGTATATTTTTGATCACTTATATATGATTATATATATGTATAAGCAATTTTTCTCATTTCTTTAAATTTTATTTTTTGTAAAAGAAATCAATGTAAAAATTATTCTTTTAATTATTTTTTATGTTTCTTTCTTATTATTATATATTTATGTTTCCTTATTATTATTAATTTTGTATTAAAGAATAATTTTACAAAGGAAAGAAACATATATGGACATATTTTGCATATAATTATATATAATTATATATAGAACTTTTTTTCCCGGGTATATTAACGGCGATGCAAAGTTTAAAAATGAGGACAGAACGATGTAAAGTATTGATTGTAAAGGATCCTATTTGGAATTAAAAAAAAATGTTTAAAGTATCTTTTTGAAATATTTCTTATTTTATACTTTATATTTTTTTCAAGACATATTGACCGCATTATGTATATTTGCGCGAGAAAAAATTAATAAGGCCTGAATAGTGTAATTGAAAAAAAAAAAATTAGAAAACGGAAAATCTTGGATGTTCTCGCTTGCAAATCTTCAGTAAGAATGTTTGCTAATACAATACGATCAAGCTACCTCGTCGATGACCTCGTTAACTCGTTTAATTCTCTGATTACGAGGGATTTGCCGATCCATCCGCACTGCCGCCTGGAACATTAGGTGCTCCGTCACGGTCAGCGTGCCGACGAACAGATCGTCTTGCTGCACGTAAGCCATCCTCGAGGTGAGGACGCCCGGCGATATCCTCTGGCCGTTGGCGGCCATCAGACCGGACGCGGACAGTCCGCGTGCTGAACGGAACGTCAATGTGTTCAACAAGGTCGTCTTGCCTGCGCCTGACGCGCCCATGATTACGAGCAGTTCGCCGGGATACGCTACTCCGCATACTATAACGATTTATTCCGAAATACAATAAAAATTGGACTGCTGTATTTTGCAAAACTGTACGCAAGTACGTTAAAAAAAGGGAGGAAGCGACAAGTTGCTTCTTTTTCTTTATTTTACCATCTTTTAATATGTGTTTCTGCGCGACGGATTTTCTGGTCTTGAATGTCAGCCGATCCCAAATTCTATCATTTTTCACGCTATAATACACGTTCACGTCGCTCCACGTGTACGTAATATTGTTGCCAAAACTTTCATTGTTGCAATCTGCGGCTGTCGACGGGCTCGAAATCAGTTTAAGGTCAAAAGTGTTCTCCAAGCTTCCGCCATGCAACGCATCTCTTTCATTACCTTCCTATAACGATCGTTAAAAAATCGATTTTATTTTCCCCCTTTAACTTTATTTTAATATAAATAATATAACAAATACATTTTTATTAATATTCTTTCCATTTGTATACAGAGTACTTCCTGATAAAAAAAATTTAGGGAATTCATGGAAAAAATGTATAAATGGCGTTGTATTAACAGTATTAACTAACAGCAGTCTAATTTTAAAAAAATCTTGTTTATTCGTTAACAGTATTAATGAAACAAATAACACTTTATTAAAACAAAAGCATGGCGTATTTGTTCCATTAATACTCACCGAATTAACAAAATTATTTTCCATTAAATACTGTCGACTAATGTTTCAAAGACAATAATACATGATCATTTTCTTCGTGTTTATCTAATATTTTTAAAAGTTTCTTTTGAGTTTTAAATTTATTTCTAAATAAACATTAAACTTCTTCAAAATTTATAAGTTTTTTTAAAAAAAATTAATGAATGAGGAATCAGAATATTTCAGAAAAATCATATATATATATATATATATATATATATATATATATAATTCTAGAAAAGATATATGCTTTCTTAATATTTTTGAAAAGTGTTTCAATTCGCACAAAAAAACTAAGAAATGTTTTAAAAAGTCATAAGATTATTTTATTACGGAAGTAAAATCTGAAAAATTATTTAAAGAATTTTAAGATTTCAAAGCTATTAAATAGTTTTTTTATGTATAATTTTTCTTCTTAGCCAATTTCGAAATTTTTCTGTATATATAAAATATCGGGAAGGCTATCTTATGTCTTTCCATTTCTAATTTTTAACATTAAAAATTAATTTGCCAAAGTCCCATTACTTTCAATTGTTAATTGAAAATCATCTATCTACCTTGGCGTTTTTGTTCAAAGAAAGAAGAGCATCTAATTATTACGTCATGCGTTAGACAATCGAACCTGACGAAGCCATAGACATGAATATCGTCTGCGCCGAGTTTAAGAGAGGTATCAAAAGTGCGTGTGTGTGCGGGAATAGAAATATTCACGTAAAATACAGTAAGTTCAAAAGAAAATATACGAGAGAGCGTTTCAACTAAAAAATCATTTCTATCGCAAGATCATTGCGTCGACTCGCCGTCGCTCGATCGTCGTATTGGGCGAACGCGACGATCATATCACATGATATATGTATTTTATCTCGCTTGTCGTACTTACGAAGGAAATCGTATGATAAGTGACTCTTTGGGTCTTACTGACGGAAGACACCGACGTCGTGGATATCAACGGCTCCGTTTCCTCGGTAGCCGTCATTTTTCTTGTCCCTCGTTCTTTTATTCGGTACACTGATTAAAATACGAGTCTCTAAGATTAAATAAAAATGTTTTTCCCTATTCCGCTGAAATTCACTTGACGTCGACGCTTCTCAAAAAAAAAAAAAAAAAGAAAGAAAAAACGATTGCAATCAAGAGGAGATTCAGGCTTCAGAGTTGATTTTATTTACAACAGACACTGATCCATACAGAAGATCTATGCACGTTTCGTATTCATATCAAATTACATGTTCCGAATGTTGCGAAACGATAAAGAAATTAGAAAAAATAGCAGATTACGAGCGATTGTTGCTCGCGACGTAACGCGAAAACACGTTCTAGGAGCGGGCCCGGCTTCTTTTCCCCGGGAATATTGCGGTATCGCGGACGCCGCGTGTACACCTGCGTACAGTGTGTAAGAACGCGCGTGCACGGTATATACGCATGTAGGAGATTGGTCGGAGGAAAACGGAACGACGTGAGCCCCTCTCCGTATCACGGCCATACCGTATTGCATATTTGCAGCCCTATCTATACGCTCCGTGGTGGGGCCAAATCCGTCTACAAAGAGATCGAAAAGCGGCACTGCAGGGGGAAAAAAATATCGAATCAAAGAGGCTTCAGGATGTGTGCATACGCGCGTGTATTATCTATAATGTTACGTGTATAAAATATAGGGCTGTTACATTTTGCTTACTTCGAATATTCAAAGCTTCGAAGTTTAAGGTGCCCTCGAAGTTTCGAAAAATACATTCGTGCAAATTTAATTAAAAAATTAATCGTTTTTATTAATTTTACGAGTTTAAATTTTCTGTTTCTAAGATTGTTTTATGCTTAGGAAGATTTAATGATGACGCCAAAACAATTACATTAATTTATTATATTTTTATTCATTTATTTAAGAATAAATTTATTTTCAATTTTCCGAATTTTCTTAATTCGATTCGTTTTATCGATCGTTATCTTTCCTTATTTATCATTATATGTATCAAGTTTAATTATTAATTTGTAATATTTCGGGTTATATAATACTTTCAAATTTTTTATGAATAATTACGTACATATATTTTGAGCATATACATATATTAATTCTTTTTATTTACAATATTTGTAAATTTTCTGAAGAAATTCATTTTATACACGAATGTATTTTTCGAAACTTCGAAGCTTCGAAAGAATTCGAAGATTTTAATGCCGAAGCTTCGAATCTTCGAAGCTCGAATGTCGAAGCCTTCGAAGCAAATCACCAACCCTAATATATAAAGTTCTTTCCTTTCTCGTTCGCTATTATCTCTCCCTCTCGACAATTTAAATATGGTGCGCTAGTAAGAGGATGATGATATGGATATGCAGCATTGACGCAATCTGCATTATTTTTTTTCCTTTTCCTAGTGTATTAGAGATCATTATCTTATCTTATAATACATTGTGAGGAGCGCGCGCGCGCAGTACGGTCGTGCGTATTTTTTTAGAGCCGTTTTAGAAAGCGTAGCTGTCTATTACGTAGGATAGCGCTGAAGTATGAATGGGCCCTATCGATGTAACTCTATCGCTAATATGTGGATAATAATAATAATATATTGCAGTATATTTATCAAAATATATATATCTCTCTCTCGTAGTGGCTTTTGTTTTCGTTATTTTCGCGTATATGTATTTTCGGATTCACGACAATCGCGCGTGATAATAACTAAGAAATTTTACCAGTCACCAGCGCGAAATGTATCGTTTTCCGTTGTATAAACGTAAACCTTTCTGAACGTGGACGTTAAGAAAAATATCTTCGGTCGGCAGAGCACAAATCGGCAATTTGTTCCGCTTGTCTTCGCAAAGCAAATATTCGGTTATTTCAAATCTACCTGTTACTTTGGTACTTTTGTTGTCTAGTTTACACGGTGCGAGTTCGCAGGTGAGGATCAGGAGCTGGGGGGGGATCAGCTATTTCGTATAAATAATAGATCGTCCGCGAGTTGGGCAAGTAACTGGCTTTGCTAGTTACTTCAAATATTTTTGTATTATCTGTCTACACCCACACCACGCAGATAAACCTGCAGCTACTGGCTGTAGTAAACGCATCAGTATGGCCAGCAACTGTCCAAATAGTGGAGCTGAGATAGATAACTATAACCATTCAGTTCAGAGGCTTCAGTGTTGGCTTACTGGCAAGCTAGTGTAAACAACAAGGGTCAGTATTGTAAAAACCGAGTAGTAAATCGTCCAATTTGGAGACCAATTATTAGCTTACTGACAAGCCAGAGTAGCTCGCACCGTGAACTAGGCATTAAGATACAACGGTAGTTATAACACGATGACCAGTCTGAAGCGCGATTGTACATACATACAAATCAAATTTTACAGTACAAATAATTATACCGATTATGTGATTTCCAAAATCGGTTTAGAGCTCTACCGAGATCCTCTTATATTTCGGATACAGTCCACCAAAGACCACCAGCTGAAGAGAATCTCCGAAGATCGAAATCGGAAATCGCAATCGCAATTATATTTATTTATATTATAAAATTGGATTTTTATTGCACGTACCGCGTTCGAGATTCGCACCGGGTAGTCGAATTGTAACTGCATTCGATCATTTCGATTAAGATCGTCCCAAACCGATCGTCTTGGTCATGACACTGGGTACTGTTTTGGGCAATTTCGCAAAATAGATATTGCTTTGGGTTATCACACTGTCGTTGCCAATCCCCGACGGCATCATGTCTAAAATCGGGATATAAGACTTTGAGACAACTTGTATGCCAAATATAGACGCCGACTTACAATTAAGTAGGAGGGTGGAGGGGGAGGGGGCGACGACCCACCATAATCATTTTTACCTTTTCGTTTAACCAAAAATTTTTCAATAATAATTTAATAATTTTTTAATAATTTCTGATCAAAACAATTGTGAAAAAGCGTCGGCCAGACGATATGCCATGTAACGTTGGCGCGACGAATTAAAATTAGCGCGTTCATTTACTGTCTGCGATCGTATGTGCCCATAATGGCGATACAACCGCTCTCTTCGCCGTGTAATAATTCAAATATCTAACATAAGAATACTCATTATCATATTATTTAATGTATTGTAGATGTTTATTTCTTAATAGTGTTAGCAAAACGTAAAATTGATTTTGACTAATAAAAAAAAGGTCATTATTTGAAATGTTTTGTTTCTCCCCCCCC